TTGTTACCGGAACCAAAAATTGTTTATTGTTATGCGAGGGGTTAAACTCTTGGCCGTGTGCCTCTACCTGGCCGCAGCCGCAACTGTGGTGGTCCGAGCCGAAGACCCTTACTTCCATCACGTGTGGAACGTGACCTACGGAACCGTATCTCCTCTCGGTGTTCCACAACAAGTCATTCTCATCAACGGTCAGTTCCCTGGCCCCAACATCAACTCAACCTCCAACAACAACGTCATTATCAACGTCTTCAACAACCTCGACGAACCCTTCCTCCTCACTTGGTAATTACATTCCAAAAAAAACATCGGTTTTGCAAGCATAAATTAAAATCTTATACAATCGGGTTTTGTTGGACGTTTTTCGAATACAGAGAACTAATTGAAAAATATGGGTTTTCTTTTCTTAACTAATGGATACGTGTTCTTTTTTGGGTATTAGGAATGGGATCCAGCACAGGAAGAACTGTTGGCAAGATGGGACTCCAGGGACTATGTGTCCTATCATGCCCGGCACCAACTTTACTTACCATTTCCAGCCTAAGGATCAGATCGGAAGCTACTTCTACTACCCGAGCACCGCAATGCACCGTTCCGCTGGTGGATTCGGAGGTCTCCGAGTGAACAGCCGTCTCCTCATCMCGGTCCCTTACGCTGATCCGGAAGATGACTACACCGTCCTGATCGGTGACTGGTACACTAAGAGCCACACCCAATTGAAGAAATTCCTTGATGGTGGTCGTACTCTTGGTCGTCCAGACGGTATTCTCATCAACGGAAAGTCCGGGAAGGGTGATGGATCAGACGCTCCTCTCTTTACCTTGAAACCTGGAAAGACTTACAGGGTTAGGATCTGTAACGTGGGTCTCAAGACATCTCTCAACTTCAGGATTCAGAATCACAAGTTGAAGCTCGTTGAAATGGAAGGATCGCATGTCCTTCAGAACGATTACGACTCTCTCGACGTTCACGTTGGTCAGTGCTACGGTACCATCGTTACCGCTGATCAAGAAGCTAAAGATTACTACATGGTTGCATCCTCTAGGTTCTTGAAGTCGGTTATCACCACAACCGGACTTCTCCGCTACGAGGGAGGCAAAGGCCCTGCCTCTTCTACGCTCCCGCCCGGTCCTGTTGGGTGGGCTTGGTCGTTGAACCAGTTCCGATCTTTCAGGTGGAACTTGACCGCTAGTGCGGCCAGGCCCAACCCTCAGGGATCTTACCACTACGGAAAGATCAACATCACACGCACCATCAAGCTCGTAAACACACAGGGCAAGGTCGATGGAAAGCTCAGGTACGCGTTGAACGGAGTCTCCCACACCGACTCCGAAACCCCGTTGAAGCTCGCCGAGTACTTTGGTATTGCCGACCAGGTCTTCAAGTATGATACCATCACCGATAACCCAACTCCGGAACAAATCAAGAGCATCAAGATCCAGCCAAATGTTCTTAACATCACTCACCGCACCTTCATCGAAGTGGTGTTCGAGAACCACGAGAAGAGTGTTCAGTCTTGGCACTTGGATGGTTACTCCTTCTTTGCCGTCGCGTAAGTGAAATAAACAAACAAACACACGCTTACTTCAATTTCTTGCATAGAAAGTAACCAACTACTTTCTTGTGTTACAATTAACCCTTCATTTTAAACTAATCGTCAATTTTACTCTGTTTCAAAGTGTCGAGCCAGGGACTTGGACCCCCGAGAAGAGGAAGAACTACAACCTCCTCGACGCAGTGAGCAGACACACAGTCCAGGTCTACCCAAAGTGTTGGGCAGCAATCTTGCTCACATTCGATAACTGCGGAATGTGGAACATTCGATCTGAGAACAGCGAGAGACGTTACTTAGGACAGCAGCTTTACGCGAGTGTCTTGTCGCCAGAGAAGTCACTGAGAGATGAATACAACATGCCTGAGACAAGCCTCCAATGTGGTCTCGTCAAGGGCAAACCTAAACCTAACCCTTACGCTGGAGCCTAAGTTAACTTTTATAAGACAATACTTTTAAATGCAACAAGAGAGTTTGGATTCTTCTGTTGATTCGATCGATTTGAGAGGCATTTGCAACCACGTTAACCCAACGTATTTATTTTTCTGGTTTTTGGGTCTTCTTTTCTTAATTATTTTAATTTTTAAAAGTATATGGTTTATTCGTATATACATGGGATTGAAATGTATGTATGTCTATCCCTTAAAGTAAATTTTTTTTTGTCCTTTTTGTTTGTTCTTTCACATTTTTGTAACGCGTATGTAATGTATCCATAATCTTCATCAATGAAATAAGCAGAGAGATCTTATTTGTCTGACATGAAGTGTTCTTTTCCCTAATTGTACACTTATAAATTCACAACTCGAACAAAAAAAGATGAGAAATGCATCACTCAATATTTTCTGTATGCAAATCCTCATTGCTCGCTCTGTCTTTTCTTATCACTCTTTTATTCTCTTGGCTAAAATCTCTATTTACAATATTGTTTACAAATCAACTAGAATAATCACTAGTCATTTTGTTTAATTAA